GCTTCGCGCTGCTTCTTGCGCTCGACGTAGTAGGTCGGCACCGTCGACTCATCCGAGTCCTGCGACGGCTTTGGCGGACGCGACCACGACGAACCCGGGCTCATCGGCGGCAGCCCGGAGGGAGAAGTGGAACATGCGCCGTTGAGACATCTGGCCATCGCTGCCCTCTGGATGGAGAAGCTCGGTCGCGACAAGCTCGTGAGACCCAGGTTGTCGGCCCTGGCCTTGTCGCTTGAAGAAGCGCTGTGCATCAGGATGGCGCAGTCCATTTCGCTGGTAGCGCGAGGATGTCGCTTCCTGCGCCTGTCGCTCCTCCTCCTCCTCCTCCATCGGCCTCTCACGCTCCCTTTTCTCCTCCCATTCGACCATCGCCTGCACAGCCGCCTCGTCCTCCTTCTCGAGGCGTGCAAGTGTCTCCTGGAGGGTCTCGCCCTTCTCCAACCATACCTGACGTTTGATTGCCTTTGGATGAACCCATGGCCAGATAGCATTGTCCATCGCGAGGCGCGCCTCGCTCGGGCTGTTTAGTGAGTTCATCTTGCGAAGGACGGCGGGAAAGTCGCCGGTGCGGCAGACGCCGACAAAGTGCTCGATCGCGTCCTTGCGACCGAGCTCGTGGCGAACGGGATAGCGAGTCTCGAGCAGGAAGACGGTGTGCGAGGTGTACGCCTCTGGCGGAGGCGGCTCGTATTTCTTGCGTTTGGCGAGGTAGGCTCCGCCGGGGAACCAGTTCGAGATGCGAAGGTCTCGCGGACGGGTGAAACCTCCCATGTACCTGTATCACGTAAGAGTAGCTCTACTAGCGACTGCAAGCATGCTCACTCTTTCACCGGGGTCATGGACATGGTGATATCCATACGCTCATCTCGCTCTGCCTTTTTTATACGGCGTGCCTTCTCGCGAATCTCATGGTCGGCAGTTTTGGCCTGCTTTGGCTTGATCTCGCCTGTCTCCGCCGTGGACGAGGAAAGGCGGCGACACTGCCTCACTTTTGCGGCGGCGGCAAGTCGCTTTGTGAGCTTGGACCGTGGCAACATTGCGAGCGAATATTGAGCAGAAGTGGAAAAGACGGGTGGCCTATATTGAGCCGGGAGTGTTGTGCCCTATTTGGCCGACCTGCGCTTCGTCCGGCGTCTACCGAGCACTCGGACCGCGCCCGGGCTGCCTCTCTTGGTCGCCGACGCGAGCGCTGTGCGCCCTGTGGCCCAATGGAGCAGGCGCATATATGCACGATGGCCGCGATAGTTGCGAGTCGTCTCACCCACCTCTTCTGCCGTCGGCCACGCTTATCGCCATTGCCACGCTCGCGCGTCCTAATCCCCCACCCTCGATGTCATGTGTGAACCACAGTTTCCCGGCGGCGAGGGCACCACATAGTGCGCTGATGCTGCTCAATAATGCAATGTTGTGAGAACGAGAACGGCTCACCGGAGTGTATTTGCAGCCTTATCAAAGTGTACGTCCTGATATCCACAACAGTGTGATCAGCACGAACGACCGCAGCATCAAGCTTCAAGGTCTGAGGGTATGTGTCGGAAAAAGTCTTTACCAGACTCGCATTCACCGCGACGACTTGTGAGTGCAGATCGAATGCGCCATTTTGATGTGCTCAGCGAGAACACCGTTCATGGACATGCTACATAGACTCATCAGACCCGCAGGCGATGTGCCAAATGAATGCCTTGACGCCGAAACTACGAACAGGTCACGCATACAGTCACTCAAATTAAATGCACACACAGACACATTCCCTTGCTCTGAGAGTGAGTCCGTCATTTCATGTCTTTTGCTCCAGCGACAGAGCAGATTACTAAGTGACACCAGCGGTATTTTCAAGCAGAACATTTCGTGTCCTTCGCTGTCACCTCCAGGCAGAATGCGAGTCCGAGAAGGTGCGAGCAAGTGGCAGCGTTGTCGCTGTGGCAATAATCAAGGCTGAACGAGCGCTGAACGTTGAACTGGAAATCAGCCAAGTTCTTGTTCTACTGATATCCGAACTTCTCTTCGTCTCGTTGACGCGAGCCTCATCGCATTCCGACTCGGAGATGACGATGCCGCCAAGCATGCTCTGTCGAGCCAATGACACACAGTCCACACCATCCTTCCAATTGTGCAGGAGGAAACTCCGATGGTTCGTATTCCGATTGTATGCCAAAGAAATACACAACGGACACGAGAACAGGTACTCAGACCAGCGCCGTTCAGGACTTAGCGGAGGGAACGCCTCACGCAATCCCCATGAACTCGAGATACTGCTGTTCGAACAAGGGGACGGTGTGGCCGACGCCCTGCGCGAGGATTGCCTGGAACATAGGTCCATAAGTCGAGTTGGAGTATCCGCTCGGGAGGTACGACTCGGAGACGTTCGAGATCGGCGTGGTCGGGTACCCAAAGACGGTCGTCCACTGCTTGATGGACTCGTAGAAGTTCTGCGGGTAGACGGTCGTGTCGCTGGTGGACGCCGATGAGCAATCACTGGCCTGAGAGCGGGGAGGCACTAGGTTACGGTACGCACGCGGTTCCATGCCAGACCTGCATCTTCGGCCGCGCACCCGTGTAGCCGGGGTACGCGTTGTATACGCGCTGCGCCCATTCCTCACCGGTGAGAATCAGCTCGCCCTCGGCGCACTGCGCGTTCCAGCTGTCCTCGGGCTCGTCGGGGAGCCAGAAGCACGCGTCCGCGACGCCAGAGTCAACGACGCCCGCGCTGAAGATGTCCGGGTATGCACCCGCGAGCACGCTCGTCATCATCGCGCCCGAGGACGTGCCGACGGCGAAGACGCGGCTCGCGTCGACGCCCCAGTACTCGATGGCGAACAGCGCGGCGGAGGCGATCCCGAGCGAGTCGCTCCCGCCGTTGTGGGCGAGCGTCTCGTTGGAGGAGACGTCCCAGCAGGTGCCGGAGTGGGGCTATATACGTGTGATGGGTGAGAAGTGTATGTGGGCATCTAGAGTACGATGCTCACGGAAGATGGGTAGAGGACGAGGTAGCCGTACGTCTCAGAGAGCTCGGCGAACTTAGAACCAGAGTAGTATGCCTCCGCCGTGCCCGTGCAGTCTGTCAAGTCGTCAAGGCCAAGTCCCAACTGAGCAGCAGGCACCCACAGTGCATGGCGACGAGCAAAGGCGGGTTCGCTGCGACTTGGGCAGGCTTGTAGACGTACATGGCCACATTGTTGGGGTTCGTACCAAAGTCGGTGATCTGGTAGAGCGTCGACGCGGGGATGTCACTGAGGTTGGTCTGGCCGGCAACAAGTAGGGCGAAGGGCAGCAGAGCCACGAAGCTCAGGGTTGCCTTGAGCGAAAGCATCGTGAAGGCGAGAACCTGGGCAGTAGAGAGGCTCGACGACCCACTTCTGGTAGCAAGCAATGGGTTGTTATACTTCTGTCCATGCGGCACGCACCCACGCGAGCAGTTGTCAACGGTGACCAAGGACGAGCATGCGGTCGTCACTGCTTCGTGTTCCGCTGTATGAGGACGGAAGGGGATTTGGCCGTGAAAAGCCCGCTGTGTGAGCCAAGCCAGTGTGTGTTCGCCATGAATAACGAGGCCGACAATGCTTACCTTGGAGGCCGACGCTTCCAGTATAGTTCTGCGGCCACTGTGTGACATGCGTCCTGCGACGACACACTCTGTTCGCAGACAGGCCTGAATCGTTCGGAGAATTGTCGTATGGCTTTAACGGCATAGATGCCAGAGAGCCGTGATGGGTCGACGGTTTGTCCGAGGCTTACCCGACTCACAGCGGCGGATGGAATACGGACAATTTGCGACATCCGAGCAATTCACTGCTGAGCCGTTCTGAAGACATCCTGGAAGCCGCGACGGCACGCATGACCTGCAAACATGGATGCAGAACACAGTCGAAAGCGACGTCACAGACACTGGCCGCGAAAGAGGATCGAAGGGATGCCGAGATCAATGACTATGCACCAGGCTGCAGGAAGGAATGAGCATATGGAAGTTCCGCCCATCGTGTCCGCGACCATACCATATCTGCATGTACTTGCCGCTGCTGCAATACACTCGACCACTGCCGATTTCACTTTAGCAGCTCACCAAGGAGTATATAACAACTACGTACTCGTGTAAACCGCAAGTCTTTGTGAATGCGTGGTTTCCGCCAGTTCAAGTCAGTAACGAGCAGCACCGCTTATGCTAACTAATTGAAGGACCAGATGATGATGAACACAAAACTTTATGCCGTACGGTGCTAAGACCTGGTAAGACGCGCGGCGGAATGCGGCGCCCCTACCGTGTCTTTGTAATTGCTCGATGCTACTAGTGTATGTCATCGTCTCATGATCCGATTTTGTGTGTTGTCATGACTGGAGTAATTCAAGCTGAATTGTTCCTAGCAAGTTCAAGATAATCCGACGTGGTCTCTGTTTATGCATAAGAACTTGCTATGAGGCTTATTCGGCCTAGCTTGAACGCCGCCATGATTGCATACATGCGTCGACTTTGACACCTGGATTTCACGAGAGGTGAGTTGTGCACACCATGACTACGTATCTGCCGCATCTACACCATCCAGCTGATGGTTAATCCGTCATCGTGAAGGTTCAGCACGCGTCTTGGATCGCCGGAGAGCTCAAGAATGCAGAGGATATGAACCATTGCAGCATATAGCAGAAATGATGGCAGGGACGGAGAAGTTATGAGAGACGTTCTTACGCGATTTGACTCTCAGACACGGCACGAGCTAAGGCTCCAACATTTCTATCTATATACTATGTTAAATAGTTTTAACTGTTTACTATATCTGTTTATTTACAGGTTGGGCTGTATATAGTAAATAGATGTTTATATATAGTATAAATAGTTTTATGATGACATGAGGCTATTGAGTGCACAATTGATAGATTTGACAGTGCAACAGTGAGCCAGTTGAAAGTCATAGTGTTTGATAGAAGCCACCACTGACAGTTGATCATCATATAGACTCATGAACATGAGTTTCTTGTTATTTTTTGTATGACATGAGATTTTCTTGTCATTCGTGGTGCAAGTGTTGAAGTTGAATGCTTGTTTTCTGCTCACTATCATGTGTGTGTTGATGCACCCAGCTCCTTAAGGGTCCCAACAATCACAGAGGCTGCTCACAGTTGAGTAGAAGTCCACTAAGAGATGGGACAAAAAAACTATATAAACTTTATATAAACTGTTTATACTACATATATACCAACTGTTTACTATATACTATTTATTTACACCTCAGGAGTGTAAATAGTATAAATAGTTGGAGCCTTAGCACGAGCCCGCCAGCCATAAATGGTCAGTTCATTACAACATGTCGATGACGCTAACATTTTATGCCATGTCGTCAGATTTCGTCTTCTTTGAACGTCCATGTCTTATAAAGATCCATTCAAGCCACACCTGCCACAGTGCGACACGATGTTCAGGAGCGCCTACGCATCCCATCACATAATTGTGTCACACATGTCATGACACATTCGAATTTCGCAGCTCAATGATGCAGACTTCACGGCAGACATGATGCGATTTATCAATGTGAGAAATTGTGTGTGAATGTCGACTGATTTCTTACACATGCGACAAATATTTGCAACCATGGCATTTCATGTTGAAAATGTTTCACTTTGGCTGTGAATGTGCACTATTTGCTGTTTAAATGCTAAATTGGCAAAGCTTTGCCACAAATGTAAGACATCAGCTGACATTCCCACATGATTTTCCACATTTATAAATCGCGTCATGTCTGCCGTGCTTGGAGCTGGCCGGTATCGAATATTGCAGGGTGGTCAGGAGAGCGAACACGCAGGAAAACAGGCGTCAGAGTGATGGGAGGGTAATGCGGGAGAGACCGTGAAGGAGTTAAGGATATGCTCAGTTAAAGAAATCGTGAAGCTCGAGAGGCTGGGGTCTAGTCAAAAAGCGGATATTCATGGCGCTGATGCTCCCTGCCGATGTGCCGTTCAGACACAGATCAAAGAGCTCACCTTAAAACAGAGCCAGATGCATCTCGATAGCGACGATGGAGAATGTCATTATGCGTTCTAGCACCGTTGATGGTATCCGAGCCTGTTTACACTGCGTGGAGTGTTGTAGCTGGGCATTGCTCTCTAGCCATGCAAGACTCTCTGCACTTGTCACCAGTGATAGGCTGTTGATGATCGTCAGACATTGTGGACTTAACAACATTGAAGCCGCGCGTTCAAGTGCACATCATGATGATTCGGTGACGCCGCAAGCTGGGAGCGTGACAGAAGCTAACGCGTTGGATGTTGGTCACGAGACAATTGACGCATTAGCGCTGAGCACGACCACATTTGGCTCATCCGCCACAATCGTCCTTCTATCTCTGCGGGCATTCTTCTCCTCCTCTCTTCCCTGTCTTCGCCAACGTTTGTCATGTCCAAAAATCCGTACACGAACGCTCCTCCGCTGAAGGGCCCCGCCTCGGCGAAATCGCTTGCTGACAAGGAACCGTTATTCGGCTTCTTGCCTAGGAAGGTCACCTCGCAACAGGTGCAAAAAGCAATGGTATGCGATTTCAAGCTGAATTGGCTGTTCTCAAGACACTCACAAGCAAGGAATTGACACAGAAAGGTGACCACAACCCATTCACGAAGCAGCCTCATACGCCTCAATACAAGAAGATATTGGAGGTCCGGAAAAAGCTGCCTGTCTATGCGCAAATGAACGAATTCTTGAAGATGGTAAGCCCCGCACTTTCACGTTGTCTTCATGAGGGAAGGTCAGAGTCTGCTTCAGGCACAGATCACCCTCGGCTGGCGGGAGAACGTAACTGATGTCCGAGAAAGTTCAGCGATAATCAGGTTATCGTGATGGTTGGGGAGACGGGGTCGGGGAAGACTACTCAGTAAGAGAATTTCTGTCGGAGAAATATCTGACCATGAGAGCAGAATTTAACTTGGATACCAGGATACCGCAGTTCGTCTGCTTTTCGGATCTCCCTCACACGAAGGGCAAGATGGTGGCATGCACACAGCCTCGTCGTGTAGCAGCGATGTCGGTGGCGAAACGCGTTGCGGATGAGATGGACGGTGTGTGGCTTCTAACATACCGTGCAGTATAGGTGTCTGACATTCCTCTATAGTTCCACTTGGCAAGCAGGTCGGCTACTCGATACGTTTTGAAGACATGACCGAGCCAGGTACGACGTTCCTAAAGTACATGACGGACGGCATGCTCCTACGTGAAGCCATGAACGATCCCAATCTGGAGCGATACTCGACGATCATCCTGGACGAAGCGCACGAACGCACACTAGCGACGGACATCCTGATGGGTCTGCTCAAGTCCCTTGCGAAGCGCCGTACCGACCTCAAGATCATCGTCATGTCTGCAACTCTTGATGCCCTCAAGTTCCAAAAGTACTTCTCACTATCACAATCCGGGGAGCCAGCTCCATTGCTCAAGGTCCCTGGACGTAGTCACCCGGTGGAAGTATTCTATACACAGGAGCCAGAGCCAGACTACGTGGAGGCGGCGATCAGGACCGTGCTGATGATTCATCGGGCTGAGAAGCCTGGCGACATTCTGCTGTTCCTCACTGGGGAGGAGGAGATTGAGGATGCTTGCAGGAAAATCAAGTTGGAAGCAGACGATTCGATGAACAAAGACCCTGGCAGCGTCGGTCCGCTGGTGTGCATCCCTCTGTATTCGTCTCTCCCGCCGCAGCAGCAGCAGCGCATTTTCGACCCACCGCCGCCACCTCGGACGCCGGACGGACCCCCTGGCCGCAAGGTTGTCATATCAAACAACATCGCGGAGACATCGCTCACGATCGATGGCATTGTCTACGTAGTGGACCCGGGCTTTTCGAAGCAAAAGGTGTACAATTCCCGTATAAGGGTCGAGTCCTTACTTGTCAGCCCGATTTCGAAAGCATCTGCGCAGCAACGAGCTGGAAGGGCGGGGCGGACCAGGCCTGGGAAGTGCTTCCGGCTGTATACAGAGAAGGATTTCATGAAGGAGCTGGAAGAACAAACACATCCGGAGATATTGCGGAGCAACCTGGCCAATACGGTCTTAGAGCTGGTGAAGCTGGGTATACAGGTACGTTTCATTGCGATGACTGCATGACCTGGGCTCTGATTTGGCTGTCTTGTAGGACCTTGTGCGATTCGATTATGTTGATGCGCCGGCACCGGAGACATTGATGCGTGCCCTCGAGCTTCTCAACTATCTGGCCGTACTGGATGACGAAGGCAGACTGACGCCGCTTGGCGAAGTCATGGCCGAGTTCCCTCTTGACCCTCAGGCATGTCTAGTTGTGTTCGTGCGCTGTCTAAACGTCATTCATGAGTCTACTGCAGATGGCGAAGATGCTGATCGTCAGCCCCGAGTTCAACTGCAGCAATGAGATCCTCACAATCGTCGCGATGCTTTCAGGCGAGCTATCTGATCTTGGCAATGCTAGTCACATCGTTGATACTTTGTTCAGTGCCAAACGTCTGGCTACGTCCGCCTAATCAGCGGAGAGAAGCCGACGCGGCGAAGGCGCTGCTGACCGTCCCGGACGGCGACCACCTCACATTGCTGAACGTTTACAACAGCTACGTACAGAGTGAGTCCCTGTGGCGTTTGACAGCTCATCTGCATTCTAACTTAGGAACCCAGATGCGCATGACCGAAGTTGGGCGTGGAACAACTACCTCTCGCAACTCGCGCTTGCGCAGGCTGACAACGTGCGCTCGCAGTTGGAGCGGACGATGGAGCGATACGAGATTGCCCTCGTCTCGACCCAAGACCAGCGAAAGCTGTACATGAACGTGCGACAAGCCCTTGTGTGCGGCTTTTTCATGCAGGTTGCACATAAGGAAGGCGAGAAGGGTGCCTATCTCACGGTCAAAGACAACCAGGTCGTGAGCCTGCACCCTTCATGCGGGCTTGATACTCAGCCGGAGTGGGTTATCTTCAACGAGTTCGTACTGACGACCAAGCCGTACATTCGTACAGTCACGGAAATTAGACCTGAGTGGTAGGCCAAAGTATCGTCTCTCGCTTGCAAATGCATGCTCACGCATGATTCATCATGCAGGTTGCTCGAATTTGCTTCGAATTACTATGACCTGGCTACGTTTAATGCTGGAGAGACGAAACGCGCTCTGCAGGGAGTGCAGAACAAGCGTCTGAGAAAGGTGGCGGGCGTGGAGGATGCGAACGGCAAGTTGGAACGACCGTCTAAGCAAGCACGAAAGGGCCAATAGAGGGCAATGTTGGTGTGATTGTATGTCGTTGCAATGCGTGGATGCTCTATGATAGATCGATGTTTCTGTTCAATTGGTCCCCGTTTGGGAGAGAACTGGCACAGCAGTCCCGGCTGTTTTTTCGGAAGGCGCAGTGCTGATGCGCGTCGGATTTGCAAAAAAGTGCACTTCAGTTGGATTTACCTAGCTTACAATATGACTTGAAAGAAATTTTGGGTACACACGGCAGGATCGTAGATAAGAATAAAAATTCGGATCAGAAAAAGCTGTGAGCATTGCAACAAATATGCAATGACTAACCACCAAGCCCCTGGAGGGTTTGGGAGAGAGGGACTCCTCCGACGTTCATGCAGAACTTCATGCACCAGGCTTCACAGCATTCCTTGGCCTTAAACAGCTTCCCGTTCTTGAACCAATTACACTTCTGAGTGGCGCGATGTCCAAGACAGGAAAGGAATTCTGACACCTCCCTTGCGAGCCTGGCCAAGCGATATATTTTGAGAATTTAAGGCAAGAAGAATGATGTGAAAGAATGGCTTTCAGTGAGGTCGTCATGCTTGTCGACGTTGGTGTTGATGGAGTGAAGGTTCGGGGCGAGGAGGTCGATCATGGGCGTCTGCCTGCCTCCTCCAGCCATATGGGCCACGTCCGTGCTGTGATTCCATTCATCAGGAAAACGTCACTTTTCTTTTTTGCTTCTTTTGGTACCTTTTTCTTACAAAAAAGGCAGAAAAGAGAACAATGTAGAAACAGCGTGAGAATCGGCTGATTCCTCACTTTCTCATGGCCTTGACGACGCTTGGCAACACTGATTTGCCCAAAAAGTTGTCATCAAGTCCATTAAAGGAACAAAAGCCCGGAAGCCTATCAGGAAATTCCAAAGGCAGATTCTCTAACCTTTTGTCCTTGAACGGACTTTTCACAAACTTTCTGATCAGAAAGCACGCTCAAAAAGAAGCAGATAAGGCTTATTCAAGCCGATCCTCACGCTTTTTTCTACATTATTTTCTTTTCCGCCTTTTTTGTAAGGAAAAGGTATAAAAAGAAGCAAAAAAGAAAAAGTGACATTTTCCTGATGTTTACGCCTATGTGTCGATTTGCTTGCAACAGAAAGGTCATCGATATCGAATATTTGGCCCAACAAACGCAGCCACGGTGCAGTATCCGTCGCCGGTCAGAATATTGAACAAATCCGCGGATCTTGGATCCCGATGATTCAAGAACGTTGAAACACTACAAATGTCTCACCAGGCACGTAGACTTCTCGAAGTTTTGAACCTGCTACCGCGTTCCTGCCAGGAGCGCTTACGCATCACATCACATTTAGTGTCACGGGTGTCATGACACATTCATGACCCACAAGGATGCTCTTTTGAGCTTTGAGCTTTGAACTTGATGCCTTCATTCAGCAATTAGCGACACAGACTCAACGGATGTTGACATGGAAAATGACAGTTTTTATGTGGCTGTATGAATCGCATGCACCATTTTTGGCGCTCATATGCATATCGAGTCAAAATGGAGCCCTCGTACCTCTTGAGTATCCACGCCGGCATCGGCTCCCAGAACGAACTCTGTTCACGATTTCATAATAGTATTTAACACACATGCGGCAGTTGTTAGGCTTGTAAAAGTGCGTCGTGAGAAGTTGCTTACCCACCTTCATTGTCAGAAGTTTACTTATAAGCTTCCACTAGTGTCTGCCAGTGAATGCCGTGCAATGAGACCAAACCTAGGTTTTCCTACCAATCCCAATGAACTATTCTTCTTCTAGGAAATGAAGGTGCAGCTCTGGTGTTATCCAGCTGTCACCTTCCCATCTCATGGGTGCAAAGGAGTGAGAGGCTGGTTAGGGCCACAAACGACTGGGGACTACAGTAATACAGGTGTGTACTTATATGATTTCCGCCCTTCCGTACTCGTCCACTGAGTATAAGGAATGACTACTGTCTTCCTGTACGAAGGCTGATTTATGAGCCTACTCGCCCACTCCGTTTCCAGGTACCGCCTTGCAATGCATTTCAGCCATCGCTTGGTGCTCGTCCCTCCCGACGCATTGAGTGCGTTTCACCAGAAGTGCCGTCGGTCAGCCACTTCCAACACTTCTCAGGCCGACGAAGCCATGTCCATTGTGTACCGACTTTGAAGCTGAGGGATCCAACTACACCTCTCCCTTTTCTAACGTCAACAGTGCACTCTCGCTTGCATTGATCGACATCATGCAAACTGTTTCTAATGATTCTACGTTCAGCAAGAAAGAGAATTTCGGTCTGATGACGACATATTCGACCTGCAGAAGAACCAAGAGGAGCTCGTGCTGGGCTGTCTGCATGCAGAGCTTGTGCAAATGCACAAGCACGAGCTAGCACGGATGTAGAGGAGCCACATGATGCAGCTCGATGATGCAGACAGAAAACTGGTTGAGTTGACTGGCACAGAATGTAGCAGGATGATCAGGAGAACAAAATTCTGAACATAGGCAACCTGTTTAACTGATAGGAGGTAACGCGAGAGAGATCATAGAGCTAAGGATGTCCTCAGACAACTGTATCATCCACTCGAGAGGCAGAAAAGCTGATGCTCCTCACCCAAGCGCTATTCAGACATGAGGGGGAGGTCAAGAAGTTCACCTATAAAAAGAGCGAGATGGAGATCGACAGCGAGGACGGAGAAGGTCATTATGCATTCTAGCATCAAAGTTCAGATGGTACTGATTTATGTTGTGTGGGGTTGGTGTAGGGTGTCGTAGCTGACGTGATCCTCTAGCCATGCTAAAATCTCTGTGCTCGTCACAGTGATAGGCTGGTTGATGACTGTTCTGAATGACCTTAGTCAATCGGGTTATAACCTGCACTCGCGAAGTGGACGATTACATAAGCTAAAACGATTTCATCATACGTTACTTTTCTCACGCCTGTGGCTCGACATCTGCCCTCACTTTTTGTGCAGCATGTGACGCTGTGGTGAGCTCACCATCGGCCCCGTCGTTGAAAATTCAGAATAAAGCAGCCATACGCTCGTTGTCTGTTGCTAGGCCGATCGTCCCGCCTGCGACTTTGTTGTCTTTGTGGAGAGCCATCGTATCGCTCACATGTCTGTATCTGTGAAATGCACCCCTCGCCCATCGAAGGGAGTTGCCGCTCATCGCTGCTATCATGCATCAATGACAACGACCTCGTCATGCTCGAATGCACCATCACGTGCTTCAAATGCAACACAACTGGTGTTGCTGTATACGACGGAGCATGGAAGTACTGGCGCACACAGCTTGAACTACTCACTGTCACCAAACTTATTGAGGGACCCAAAATGATGGTCGAAGAGGACCTCGGCATCCAGGACAACGTCCACATCTAATAACTTCTTTGCTCACTTTTCTGTCCTACCTGTATTTGTATTGTCATGTATAACGTACTCTGCAAGCGCAAAGTACCCCTCTGCCATTTCTGTGGCAAGGACACCCACACCACCGACCAGCACTGCAACGCCTGCAGTGCATGCACTCTTGAGAACAATCCTGCGACCGTCCTGTGTCCGTCTGCCCATTTCTTCTGCCGTGTCTGTGGAACCCATGGCGAGCATCATGCCGCTGACCCATCTTGCACTGCCCATGCTCAGTACCGCATTCCTTCGCTGCTAACTGTCACTGCATCATGATCCTTACAACCGCACAGTTGAATGTAGCCTGTTCGAATTCGTGGCTCCATGGCCTTCTAGCCAACACTCCTTTTGATCTATATTTCATCCAAGAACCTTGGTGGGGACGCATCGGGTCTGACACCCCTCACGGGGCGAATTCGGTGCCCCTGTCTTTGACACTGTCAATGCTGCTCCCTTTAATCTTGTCACCTTTCACCTCCCTCATTCCAACCCAACCCCCAGGCCGCACATCAGCTGCCTGGTGAGGAAGCACCTCTTCAACCTTTTCCATGTTATGCTCCGTTCTGATCTCTCCTCTCATCCTGATGTTCTCATTCTCTCTTTTTTGTCTCGTTCATTGCACGTCTACAATGACATGCCCACGACTGGCCAATCTGACCTCTGACACCTCCTGTCTCTTTCACTTCCACCCAATGTTCTGCTTCTGCTGTGTGGAGACTTTAACATGCACCACCCTCTTTGGTCATCGGAGCACCGCACCTTCCACACTACTACTAAAGAGGTGGACGACCTTGTCCAATGGACAGTAAACTGCCACCTGGAGCTCATCACCGAACCCCACATCCCCACTCACACCGTCGGAGGAAATCCCTCCATGGGCACCATCATTGATTTGGTATGGGCCTCGACCCGCCCCCGTTTCGCTCTTTCACACTATTCCGTCGAGGACTCCCCATGAGCCTCCGACCATTCCCTTCTTACCTATAACATATACACTGAGGCCGCTCTCATGGAAGTCGACCTTGGCTTCCGCGTGGACCCTTCCCTTCAGAGTGAGTGGCTTGACGCCCTTGATATTGCTCTCCTGACTAATCCTCCTCCCCTAGCTACTCCTCTGCCTCTGACCTCGATCAGGGTGCAGCAGCTCTGTTGCATGCCATCGACACCGCGAATCTCACCACCTTCCCACCATGCACTCATGCTCACCAACCATCACAACTGTGGTGGAACGATGGCTGCGACTTTGCCCGATGATGAGTCCAGGATGCTCCTACCTCTGAGGCTCGTCGCAGTGCTAAACACGACCTCCAGCAGGTCATCTGCACTGCACATAAGGAGTGGGCCATCACGGCAGCCTCCTGACTGCAACACACCAACCCCTGGCACCTTTTCTCGTGGACCAAGGGGCTACGCACCCCGGCACCATCCATCATTCGCACTCGCAATGAGACACTCAGCCTGCCTGCTGACATCAGAAGGGCACTCACCGAGCAGTATTTTCCTCCATCTCCTTCTTTCCCTCCTTTACGCCCTGTCATTTCTCCTCCCTACCCAATGCCGCGGGCATCCACTCCCTTCTCGAGAGTGAGGTCTCCACGACCATATCGTCTACTTCCCTTCTTTCTGCCCTGGGCCCCTCCGGTACCTCCTGGAGGCTCGTCCGATGGCTCTGGCAGTCTACTGCACACCATGCCCTTTTTGCATTCTTGGCCGCGTC